GGGGGGGAGGGGGACGACTCTGAAAGCAGCTTACATAAAACATAGGTTGTTGTGAACGAATGCAGTGTTCAAGCACATTTAAATGGTGCACCACTAATCCCAGAATAGCTATTTGTTGAGGTGGTTTGGTGGCATTCAATGCAGAAAACACAGCTTTGTGTTTTGTATAGATTTCCACTTAAATAGGCTCTGGCTGTTTGTAAGTAGAAAACTATAATTCAAAAGTGGTGGTTTGATTTGTGYGCTGATATACAAGGGCACACATGTGGCTTTGTATGGTCATCACAGAAATCTATTCTTTTATTGCTCATTTCTTGCTACTTTCTAGCAGGAGGAGCAGAATGGGTGGATCAATAAAAACTGGATTGCTGTTCCATCAGGTATAAGGATGCTGGATCAACCTTTCATGACTGACATCATTGAGGCATCATCCATCAGCCACATGCCTCAGATTATTGACATCTACAGTGCCAGCTGGGGACCAACAGACGACGGCAAGACGGTGGACGGACCCCGAGAGCTAACACTGCAGGCCATGGCTGATGGCGTCAACAAGGTAAACTGAAATTCTATACACTAATGTTAAAAACAAATAAAATGTCAGGGTAATTTCAATTAGCTTTACGTTTTGAAGTAAAGGGTTTTGTTAACGTCCGTCAGTTTTTTTACTCTCTTTGAAGTGACACTATCAGGTATATTAGTTCCTTAAAGTGCCTGTGACATGCCTATTCTACAATTACAAAAAAAAAAATAAAAAACAATCAAAGAAAACGTTTTATTCTTAAGAAAACTGGCACAATATATATGATTTAACACATTTTGTCTCACAACTGACCTATTTTTGTTTGGTTTTGGCTCAGCCAAAGTGAAACAGGAAGTGACATCAAAGTGGAACTCTTTAATAAAATAAACTCTCTGGTCTTTGTTTATTAAACAATATTATTTAAACTTTAACTCTTCTTCATCTCTCTTTGATAGAAACTCAAAAATAATCTAAAGAAACATCAGATTCTTCTCCACAGTCTCTGTTGTTAGCTGTTTTAACAAAGCGTTGTTTACATGCAGACGTTCCCCTTTGACATCACTTTCTGTTTCTTCACACGCAAATAACTCAACAACCATCTCAGTGGCGTGAAATTTGTTTTGCAATATTTTATCAATGTTCTCTTTCCAAAAATGCATTCATGTTTATTACAAAAAAATGATGTCACAGGCACTTTTATTCCATCATTGGAGGTTTTTAGGATGATGCTAATTAGCCACAACACAATAACCTCTGACAGCTGAAGTGAAGATCAATTTTCAGTTGAAATTGAAATGCCTTGATTGGGACGCGTTTTATTTTTTCACAACAACACCCTTTTCAGCAAGATAAATAAGCATGTTGTCGACAGTGACAYAGAGCTCAACAAAGCCCTTCAGATGGCACTTTAAAACCCACTTAATCCAAAGGATCAGCTGCCAATCAACCTGTGCCAAGCAGTGCTAGAGATGACGTCCCATTAGCCCCATTTCTGTTTCATCAGTTCTGAAGGAGAAAGACCTATATTTCATGTCATTGAAATCCTGTAGCTGATTTAAAGTCTAATTAGGCTTTTGACCATTCGCATGAAAATTATTGCATTTTGACTTCAAAGTTACTTTGTTTTTTGTCCTAATCGACACAAATGCACTAAAGTGCACTAACAGTTTTTTAAAATCAAATAATAAAAAACTCTGCTAACAGCAAGAGTACAGTTTAGGGAATGCTGGTGCTAATTTCACGTTTTGTATTTTGTCCTGCTCAAGGACACTGCAGCAAGGTGAAAACTGTCTAAAAACTGCCAAAGACTTAGATCTAAAACTTTGGACACACACACATAAAGAGTTGCCATGCTAACAGCTACACTGCCAATTACTTGCTTGATTAATCATCATGTGCTGCGTGCAGGCAGGTGCAAGCTGGTATAAAACAGCCCTGTCTAAGGTGAATAAAAACAGAGATCTCTGTTATATTTGRTCAAGTACGCATAGCTAATCAAGTAGCCACTCTGCAATCTGACACTAAGATTCTTSATGACTTACATAAGCTTCTATGTGGGCTGTGCATGATATGCACTGTGCACAGAAGAAAGMCTAAAATTAAGAAGCACTTTATGTCCCAGAAGCACACGAACAGACAGAGAGGTTTTAATGAAATAAAATTACACAATTCCTTGGAAAATGACACTGCTTTGTCAGTGTTGTGAGGGAGGCGAAATGCTGAAGGCTTAAAGCACCGAGGTAAGCTCAGTGATGCTCAGACCTCTATTTTTATTTAATTTTATTCACTTATTTATTTATTTTTGCATTTCAATCAGATGGACACAAAACGAGCAGGGAAAGAAAGGGACATGCCATTCCTCTTCCGTTTGATCATCTGTCTCGTGCAGTCTTTTGTAGTCACAGGTGCAGCAGAGAGTGGAGAGGATGCTGAGTGCGTGGAGCCACATTCAGTTGTTTCATGCTTTAAGGCACAGTTATCAGCAACAAATGAGACATTTCACTGTGCATTTTACTTATTTTATGGGTGAGATGATTGTTTTCAGAACTCATTGTGTGTCATTGCTCAGTAAGTGAAAGAMAGGAGACAAAAATAGAAAATCTAAATAGGAAGGAATTAGTTTGTGTCACACAGCTGTCAGAATGTGTATCTGCTGGTGCTAGGAGCAAGTTTGAAATAGTTTGACCTTTGTATTACCTAATATAAGACTTAAATAAGTGTTTCACCCCCCATTGAAATACTAACATGAAAATATTTATGTTGTAATTATTTTTTCTGTTCAAACCATTGTATTCTGGCATCAGTTTTCTGCATGAAAGCACTAGATAATGTTAACATTCATGCCTTATAGCAGACCAATGGCACAGGGGCCAAACATCCAGCAACTAAAGTCATTATGTAAATAAGTATTGCAATATAAACAAGTATTACAAAGATCTTTTACCTCTGAAATAGTTTATTTTGCCGAATTTAATCATGAATACAACATACAGAACCCTATGTATAGAAGAAGTTGCACCTGGACCGGTCCCGGACCAGTTCTTCTGTGTTTGTCTGTGTCTCTTTCCTGTCCCTCAACCAGCCGGTCGAGGCAGATGGCCGCCTGCCCTGAGCCTGGTTCTGCTGGAGGTTTCTTCCTGATTAGCAGGGAGTTTTTCCTCTCCACCGTTTGCTAAGGTGGAGAGGTTTAAACCAGGCCCTGACCTTCACTTTGATTCGTAAAAGGGTCTGGACTTGATGCATAGAGAATCGATTTCTTGCAGGAGGCGTGGCCTCTGC